TGTGTCTGTAAAGATGTCTTTGATGTGTAGATCACGTAGTGTTTCGCCTATATTTCCTTCTATATATTTTATGGTTTCAGGTCTTATGTCTAGTTCTTTAATCCATTTTGAGTTGATTTTTGTGTATGGTGTGAGGTAGTGGTCAAGCTTCATTCTTTTGCATGTAGCGACCCAGTTTTCCCAGCACCATTTATTGAACAAACTTTCTTTGCTCCAATGCATAGTCTTTGCTCCTTTGTCAAAGATTAGTTGACCATAAATCTGTGGATTTATTTCTGGATTTTCTATTTGATTCCATTGGTCTGTATGTCTGTTCTTGTTCCAATACCATGCAGTTTTGATGATTATGGCTTTGTAGTATAGTTTGAAGTCTGGGAGTGTAATGCCTCCATTCCCTTCTTTTTTTTTCAGGAGAGCTTTGGCTATTCGGGGTTTTTTGTGATTCCATATGAATTTCATCAATAATTGTTCTATTTCTTTGAAGAATGACATTGAAATTTTGATTGGAATAGCATTGAATCTGTATATTGCTTTTGGAAGGATGGCCATTTTAATAATGTTTATTCTTCCAATCCACGAGCAGGGGATGTCTCTCCATTTCTTTGTGTCTTCTTCTATTTCTTTTAACAGTGTTTTATAGTTTTCTTTGTATAGGTCCTTTATCTCTTTTGTTAGATTTATTCCCAAATATTTGATTTTTTTGTTTCAATAACAAAAGGGATGGTTTTTTTGATTTCTTCTTCTTCAGATTTATTGTTTGTGTATAGGAAGGCTACTGACTTTTGCATGTTGATTTTGTATCCTGCCACTTTACTGAACTGATTGATGAGTTGAATTAGCTTTTCTGTGGAGTTTTTGGGGTTCTCTATGTATAATATCATATCGTCTGCAAATAGTGATAGTTTGACTTCTTCTTTTCCTATTTGGATTCCTTGGATGTCTTTCTCTTGTCTTATTGCCCTGGCTAGGACTTCCAGTATTATATTGAAAAGCAGTGGTGAGAGTGGACATCCTTGTCTTGTTCCAGATCTTAATGGGATTGCTTTCAGCTTTTCACCATTGAGAATGATGCTGGCTGTTGGCTTGTCATAGATGGCCTTTATGATGTTGAGGTATGTTCCTTGTATCCCAAGAATTTCAAGGGATTTTATCATGAATGGGTGTTGCACTTTGTCGAAAGCTTTCTCAGCATCTATTGATATTATCATATGGTTTTTATATTTCTTTTTGTTGATGTGTTGGATAACGTTGATTGATTTTCGGATGTTAAACCATCCTTGTGCCCCTGGAATGAATCCTACTTGGTCGTGGTGAATTATCTTATGGATACATTGTTGGATTCTGATGGCTAAAATTTTATTGAGGATTTTTGCATCAGTGTTCATTAGGGAGATTGGCCTGTAGTTTTCCTTTTTAGTGTTGTCCTTGTTCGGTTTTGGTATTAGTGTAATGTTGGCTTCATAGAACGTGTTTGGTATTGTCCCTTCCTTCTCAATTTTTTGGAAGAGTTTGTGAAGGATAGGCACTAATTCGTCTCTGAATGTTTGGTAGAATTCATTTGTAAATCCATCAGGTCCTGGGCTTTTGTTTTTGGGGAGGTTTTTGATTACCATTTCAATTTCGCTAATTGTAATTGGTCTGTTTAGGTGTTCTATTTCTTCTTTATCTAGCTTTGGGTGATTGTAGAGTTGTAGGAATTTGTCCATCTCCTCTAGATTATTAAACTTATTTCCATATAACTGTTCATAGTAGTTACTGATTATTCTTTTGATTTCTGCTGTGTCCGTTGTGATTTCTCCTCTTTCATTGATGATCCTGTTTATTTGTGCTTTCTCCCTTTTTTCCTTTGTGAGCCCGGCTAGGGGTTTGTCTATTTTATTGATTTTTTCAAAGAACCAGCTCTTGGTTTCATTGATCTTTTGGATTGTTTTTTTAGTTTCAATTTCATTTATTTCTGCTTTGGTTTTTATTATTTCTTTTCTTCTACTGGTTTTGGGTTTTTTTGTTGTTCTTTTTCTAGATCTTTGAGCTTCGAGATTAGGTTGTTTCTTTGAGTTCTTTCTTGTTTCTTGATGTGAGCTTCTATTGCTATATATTTTCCTCTTATTACTGCTTTTGCTGCATCCCATACATTTAGGATATTGGTGTCCTCCTTGTCGTTCAATTCAAAAAATTTTTTAATTTCTTCTTTGATCTCCTCATTAGTACAGTGGTCTTCCAGTAGTGTGGTTTTTAATCTCCATGAGGTAGGAAAGTTCCTTGCCTTCTTTTTATGGTTTAGTTCTAGTTTGATGCCTTCATGGTCAGAAAAGATGGTTGGTATGATTTCAATCTTGGTGTATCTGTTGATGTTTGTCTTGTGCCCCAGTATGTGATCGATCCTGGAGAATGATCCGTGTGCGCTTGAGAAAAATGTGTACTCCGTTTTTTTGGGGTTTAGTGTTCTATAGATGTCTGTTAAGCCCAATTGCTCTAGGTCCTTATTTAGAGCTTTGGTTTCTTTACTTATTTTTTGTCTTGTTGATCTATCCATTGTTGATAGTGGTGTGTTGAAGTCTCCCACTACGTATGTGTTTTCTCTGATGTCTGTTTTCAGAGAAGACAACAGTTGTCTGATATATTTTGGTGCTCCTTCGTTTGGTGAGTATATGTTAATGAGTGTTATTTCTTCTTGAAGTATTGTCCCCTTGATCATAATGTAGTGACCATTGGGGTCTCTTTTTATCTTTTTGAGTTTGAAATCTGTTTTATCTGATATAAGTATAGCTGTTCCTGCTTTCTTTTTTGGCCCATTTGCTTGTAGGATTGTTTTCCATCCTTTGACTTTGAGCCTATTTTTATCTTTTGTAGCTAAATGTGTTTCCTGGAGACAGCAAAAGGTTGGGTTTTGTTTCTTAATCCAGGCTGCAACTCTGTGTCTTTTTATTGCAGAGTTTAGTCCATTTACATTTAGAGTTAATATTGATATGTTAACATCTGTATTTGCCATTGTGTTTGTCTTTCCTTTGATTTTATTTATTTATTCTTTTAATAACTTTTTTTTTTTTGGCCTTCTTTCATTGTTATTCGTCCCTCTGAGGTTCTGGCTTTAGGACTCCTTGTAGTATTTTTTGGAGTGGGGGTTTAGTTGCAATGAAATTCCGGAGTTTCTGTTTGTCTGGGAAGGTCCATATTCTTTCTTCAAAGAGGAAGGAGAGCTTTGCGGGATAGAGTATTCTTGGTTGGCATCTGTTTTCTTGGAGTCTGTTGACTATGTCCCTCCACTCTCTCCTTGCCCGTAGTGTTTCTTCGGAGAAGTCTGATGTCAGCCTGATTGGCTTTCCTTTGAATGTTATCTGTTTCTTCCCTCTTGCCAGCTTCATTATTTTTTCCTTGTCCTGGATTCTTGGGAGCTTTACTATTATGTGTCTTGCTGTATTTTTTCTTTCGTCGTGGAAGTTTGGTGTTCTTCTTGCTTCTTGTATATCAATTTTCAGCTCCTTCTTCACATTTGGGAAGTTCTCTTCAATTATCTCTTTGAATATTTTCTCTGTTCCTACTTCTCTCTCCTCTCCTTCTGGTATTCCTATAACTCTTATATTTCCTTTCCTCATGGAGTCAGATAGTTCCCGAAGTCTTTCTTCATTCTTTTTCCTTCGTACTTCTCTTTCCTTTTCTGTTTTGGTTCTTTTTATTTCTGTGTCTTCAAGAGCACTTATTCGTTCTTCCATTTCATCAATTCTGCTTTCATTGCTTTTCCCAGAATTCTTTAGTTCTTCCACTAATTCTTTGATCTCCTGCATTTCTTTTACTTCCCTCTTTAGGGACTCAATTTCATTCTTCTGATCGTTGATTATTTTCCCTTATCATTGTTTTCCTTTATGACTTCTGTCGGTTTTTTAATCACGGCAATTTTAAATTCTCTTCTGGAAGGCTCAGAAGTTCTTCCAAGTTACTGTCGTTGCCATCTGGGGGCTGGTTTTCTTTTTGTGGTGTGCTTTTTCTCTGGAGAGTTGCTAGGTTGCGTGTGGTTCTTCCCCTCCCTACTGTCTGTTTTCTAATTTGCCGTATGCGTTGGGACACTGTGTTGTTGGGACTGGCCGGCATCTTGGGTGGGCTTCTCTTCTCCCCTCTGGTTCCTCCTGGAGTCATCTGTCAGTTTCAAGCAGTCTTTATTGGAGAAAGGTCCCTGTCCTAAAATGTCGATGTGGGGACACACTCCCCTGTGCGCCTGGTCTGCCCCGGCGGTGGGTTCCTGCTCCCCCTCTGGGCTTGGACTGCAGGCCAGAGGGGGTCTGGCGTGGGCGAACTTCCCCCGCTCACCTCTGGCTCCTGAGGAAGCCTTCTGCAGATAGTCTTTACTGAAGAAATGTCCCTGTTCTAAAATGGTGATGTGGGACACACTCCCTGCGAGTCCGGTGTCAGGCACCTCTTCTGCGTGCCTGGTCTGCCCTGGCTGTGGGTGCTCGCTCTCCCTGTGGGCTCAGACTACTTGTTCGGAAGGGGCCGGGTGTGGGCTAACTCCCCAGCTGGCCACTAGTTCCTTCAGGAGCCTGAGCTGTCTACAAGTCGCTAGGTGGCGCCAAAGATCTCTCCTAGAGCCCTTGGGGAGCTGATTTTCCACGCCGTGGGACAGGGAGCAAAGCGGGGATGGTAGGGTACACCTCAACGGCTTTGGGGTGCTGTGTCTGCCTTGTGCCCCACCGTCGTGGGGAACCCACGCCCCGAATTTCGTGCCCCAGGTCTCAGTTCCAAAGCCCTCAGTTCCAGGACGCGGGCTGTAGCCCAGTTCAGTGGCGCGGGAAGGGCGCCTTTTGCACCGCTCCCGTGACTGGGCGCCTGGTTCCTGCTTACTCAGGGAGGGACCTTCACCTCAGTGAGGACCTCCGCGCGTCTCCCCGCAAGCCTAGGTCGTCTCCCCGCGAGCCTAGGTCACAGGCGCGGGGACCTGGGCAGCCGCGATCCTGGTCTGCACTTGCTTTTCAAGCGCGCCGAGCGCGCAGCTATCCGCGCAAGCTTACCGGCAGCCCGGGCTGTGTGCGCGTCTCCCGGGGTCTTTGTTCTTCTCTAATGGCGCCCGGAGCCGTTCGCTCACCGCCGTGGCGAATCCTGCAGGGTTCTCCACAGCTCCCGTTCACGGGGTGTGGTGGCTGCAATAGTTCCTTTCCACGCACAGTCCCGCTTGCTGCGTCCGTTTTTCTCGTTGGCCGTTTTCCAAAGAACTTCTTATCTCAATGTCATCACCTCTGGTCTAATTAATTGCAAAAGCGTCTATACTAAAAAAAAAAAAAATCTGTAATAGTATTTATCACTTTCTTTTATAGTGCTTATAAAACAAAAGTCCCTGCACATATTTCCAGTTAAAAAACTTTTATCTCTGGTGATGGATATTAGCTGTTTTTAAATTCTATTGCAAGGAAATTCATGTGCTGGCTCTTTCAATAGTCTGTCCCTATGGAATAACTATATATTGTGTTTTATGATCTTTACGAAAACCACAGCTGCCATCTAGTGGCCAGTTACCCAAACTGAATGTAGAATGGATGAAATCAACTGTCGTATTTCTCAAATACAAAAATTTAAAATTAAATTCAATGTTCTAATATAGAAATTTTTGAATCACTTTCATATATATGCAAACATAGTTTTTAACTGCTGAGCTATTCCAATGTTCTTGCCCAAGTAAAATTAATTCCCATGTATAAGGTTTTTAGGTACAACATGTTTTTTATTTGCAAATAAGAGCTATGTAATAAACACAGAATGTCCACATCACCCCTTTGATTACATGCAAATGTCCTTTCCTAACCTCCACTTTTTCCCTTAGAGACTTCTCTGATGAGTTGAAGTCATTTAACAAAACACAGGACACTGAACTCAACTGAATAGGAAGATCTTGGGAAAAGTTCTTCAGCTGGCAGGGCTCACTGTCATTGGGCCCAAAATTCTTCTACAATCAGACTGAAACAGTTTTTAAACCTGAAGGTTAACTGGTGTGGTTACAGAATTTACTGAATTGGGGGTCTCCCTGGTGGCACAAGGGGTTAAATCTCAGCACTATGAAACTATTGGTAGCTACTGAAGCACTAGCTCCATCCCTGGCCAGGGAGCTAACCCACACAGCACAGCAGACCTCTCCAGTCTCACTCGCTGCTCCCCTCAGCAGTATATTTCAGTAGATCTGCCTGTTCTGCTCCCCACTCTGTCTCTGGTGTATCCCCTCACCCCCCACCCACACCTCTGTCCTACACCCCAGATTTTGTATGCATAAATAAATCTTTTTTAAAAAATGACTGAATTGATCCATCAATTCAACCAAATAGACTGCTAGGAAATTAGTCTAAATAATTAAAAAAATAATTATTATGAAGTATTTCATTATCACTAAAAGAACCTCATCACAAACTCATTGCCTTCATCAATTATGATTATACAGTTTCAAGTGTCTCATTTATGCAATATTCAACTGTTATAGCAACAACATATTTAACTAATAATGCAGATTGGATGGAAAAGTACAAAAAAATGGAAGGAGAGTGAGAGATAAAGGTTGGCAATTCAGTTTCAACTTTAATTGCTATTTAGCACTTGAGATCTGACAAATCTATTTCTAATTCATATTTATGAGTTACAAAGTGTATTTGCTTTAGCAGAAAGGCATAACCAAATGTCTCTAGAATATGCTGAATTGTTCTATTGCTTTTCCTCTTTTGTTGAGATCACTAACATGCTTTGAAGCCAAATGTAGCATATGTATAAACTCAGGTATTTCTTATTTTTCTTAATCGCTCCTAATGCATCATCAATTTGCAAGATTCATTTTTATTACTAATACTGAAATCTTAGCAGTGGCATGACGCCCATTTCTTTACTTTCCAATACTTACAATACTTGAAGAAGTTCCAGAGATTATTGCATAGATGGAGAAATGTGGTTTTGGGATCTTCATGTCCTATTCAAGGTAATAGAACTAACTGTGGAAGATGATTATACAACATTCAACTATTGAAAGAATAACTACTAGTCCTAAAGCCACACCGTAACCTGAGACTACACACACAATCAAGATAGTAAGATGAGTCTCTTAGGACCAATCAGGGGTCACATCCCCTGTACCTCACTCATCTGCACGAGTCCCAGCCACCCTAAGTCATTCTTTATCTCATAATCTCTTAACCCACAAGCTATGTTTATACTCTCCACTTCCTCCTTTCCAAACCATTCCGGTGTCTCCTGTAATCCCTATCTGGGATCAGCAACACTTGTTTCTTTAAATACTCCCTTTACCTCCTTGCCTTACTGGAAATTTAGCTAAACCCTGAAGGGGTATGAGGACCAGGAGTTAAGGTAGGTTTATTCCTCACACCCCATTGCTGTTTCCCAATGACCTTCTGCCTTTCCCTCTGCAAAAATCACTCTTCCTTTAATGCTAAATATCACCTGGATATTACTACTGCTTCCTACAGCTTTCCAAGTTCTTCTGAAATTTCTTAGTCACATGTCATGCACTAGTCTTCTGTTATTAGCAGTCTTCCATTCCACCCATTTTCCTCACTTTATCCTTGGTGACTTTAATATCTGAATGACCCATCAAAAAGGCCTAGCTCCTGTTTCTTGATTTTCACATTCTGCTGACATTTTCCTTTTTCCACCTCTTTTGCCCATTTTATGTTCACATCTTAGGTCTTTACATCTCTGAAAATATATTACCCTTTTTAAAAATTGCAAACAGAAACATAACTTTTTTACGTTTCCTACACAGTTCATTGATACAAGTACTTCCATACAACCATATGGTTCTCCAGTGGTGTGAGGATATTGGATCCTTCCATCCTACCACTTTCTTATTCTGCATCAGTCCCCTCCTGTCATCACATCCCATCTTGGTCAGAACAGATTCCATTATCATCAATATAGTGGCCCTCTGCAAATACCTGCAACTTTTACAACTTCCAGGTCCTTCTTTCCCTCAATTAAGTTAACCTTACAAAACCCCAATGCATGTATAAACTTAACTTGCCTCAGACTTTCTCCATTTTTACCTAAACAGGAAAATATTAGTAATCACAAAAATCACATAATCATGTCTTTACTTTAATTCATAATCTCAGACCGCAATTTGAATCTTGATACTACTTAAAAATATGCTGCATTTGTCAGGTAAGTTTGCTCTTCTGCTCCCCAGAATGATCATAATGATCGGGTTCCTCTCTCTTCCATCTACTGCCTCATCTGTTTCACCTTTATCTCTCAAGTGGTGTCAATGTGCATACTTTGTTGAGATCAAGGCTGGCCAGATGGAAGCATCCCCTTCTCCAAATAACCAAGTAAGTGAGTCATCATCTCACCTACATCAAACCAAGAGATGTAAGTAATATGTCAGAATATAGATGGGAACTTCAGAATTTGCGGTAACTGATTTTAGGTGGTAAGTTAGGTATGATTTCAGATTTAGAATGGTGAATACCATGTTCTGCAGAAAATAGACTTTGATGAGACACATGATCCACGTTATGTTCTAGGACAGAGGTTTACAATCTAAGGACCTTGAGCCCAATGTAGCAAGTTGACTGTTAGAGTAAATAAAAGTTTTATTGGGCATGGCCACCTCCATTCATTATATATTGACTCTGGATACTAGTATGTTGCAATGACAGGGATAATAGTTGCCACTGAGCCATATGACCTCCAAAGCCAAAAATATTTATTTTCCTTTTACAGAAAAATTTACCAGTCCCTATTTTACAAAGATAACCCTGGCAACAGAATGAAGGATGATAATGGAGTCAAATTAGATGCACAGAATATGTGTGGAGGGAAACTGTGTTAGTTTAGGTAGAATGATGAAGGCTTATTCTAAGTTAATGGTAGCAGATATGGAAAAGAGAAAAAAATTGAGCTATTTCATGTACAGAACCAGTAGGATTAGATAAGTAACTAGATATGAGAAGTAAAAGATAGGTTTAAAAATGACTCCAAATTTTTTATTTCTTGGTGACTGAGAGAGTGGAAGAATTCTCAACTGTAATAGAAGAAAAGGGGTAGGAGAGTCAAAGTTTCCAGAAATATTAATGCTTTTTATTTTGGTCAATTCAATACCTACAAGAAATGGAGCTTGCTCAGATTATCCCCAAACTGATTTTTAAGGATTGGTATATAAATGGTAGTCCTGTGGGAATAGATGAAATCACTTCAGAAATATAAAATAAAGTTTTTTAGAGGTCTGCATTTAAGTGTTGAAAACTTATGACCACACAAAAATCTACACACAGATGTTTGTAGCAGTTTTATTCATAGTCAAAACTTGGAAGCAAGGAAAATATCTTTAAATAAGTGAATGGATACATAAGCTATGGTATACCCAGAAAATGAAATATTATTCAGCCTTAAAAAAGAATGAAGCCGCCAAACTATGAAAAGATGTGGAGAAACCTTAAATGCTTATTATTGTTACAGAATCCAATCTTAAAAGGTGACAGTCTATGATTCCAACTATACGTCCTTATAGAAGAGGCAAAATTAATAGAAACAATAAAAGATCAGTTATTTTCAGGGGTTGGGAAGAAGAAGGGACAAATGTGTAGAACATAGAGGATTTTTTAGGGCAGTGAAATTATTCTGTATGGCACTATAATGATGGATATATGTAATTTATACAGAATATATACAATGCCAGGAGAGTATATTAATGATAATGCAACTTCGGAGTAGGAGAATAGAGGAAAGGGAAAGATAGGAGGGCAGATGAGCTTTATTTACCTTATTATATTTCTCAAAAAAGTTTCTAGTAAAAGACGTCAAAAGAGAAGGGTCTATTTTGTCAGAAGGAAGATTAAGGGGTGGGGGGAGTAGGTCCTAGATGTCAGGAAAGGAAGGAGGTATGTTTTCCAGGGTTTATAAAACATTATCATCTGACTTTGTAGACAAGTGAAGTAGAATGAAGATGCAGAAACTCTGTTATCAGTCAGAAGCCTTGGGGAAAGTTTCGACATAATAATGGGGGTGGAAGCCAGATGGTGGCGGGGGTGGGGGGGTGTAGAGAAACTTGGCATTAAAGAAGTGGAGGCAGTGAGAGCAAATGGTTCATTCAAAAATGCTGGCAATGAAGAAGGCGAGAGAAAGATATACAGTAGTTTGAATGAGAAATATGTAATTTGTCTGGTGCTTCAATTTCAGTCCAGGTGAGTACTCAAGTAACTCACTATTTTTTGCAAAACATGGAGCCCTTTATAGTGTCAAAAATTAATAACAAATAAATATCTTTTTTCCTTAAGGG